AGGGTCCACGAGTGGACGTGCCACCAAAAACAACTGCACTGCCTGCACGAAGCCCTGGGGCGTTGGCCACCTCCAGCAAGGTCTCCCTCACCAGTGACACAGCTACCCGATAAAAGGACTGTCAGCAGATCTGAAGTTAACTTAAATAGGCTGCGTGGTCTAGTCACACGTCAATATGATCCAACAGTCCTTTTTGTCTGCTCTTCCTGCGCTACCCCACGCTTGAGACAGACTGTCTGCAAAGCGTAAATCAACCAGCAACTTGGGGTTTCCACAACACAGGGCATGCACATCAGGCAAAAACCGGTGTCTAACTCATCCTCGAACTCCCCCAACAAAGGCGCCTGGGCTCTGAAGGGTGCTGACATGTTTCCTCGTGCGCCATCTGAAGCCATGACGCTTTGGATCCCCCGGGCAGGGAGGCCGGGGACCGAAAAGACTTGGCCTCGAGCCATGCAGGTCCCAAACCTCCTTTGAAGAAAGCTAAGACTCATGCCATGCTCCTCCGCCTCGACTCCTGCAAATTTTGCTAGATGTCGATCCAGCGCAGCCTGAGGCAGATCTGAATCAAGACCGCGAAACAAGCACGGACATCTGCATGACATACCGTTTGCTCTAGCCCTGCCTGCCTTGATGCCACATGTAAACCCGCACCGGCAATGCCTCAGCGTTGCGTCAAGCTCGAGGAAATGCAAACTTTAAGTGTCTTGACAACTTGGGCTGTGGAGAAGTGTGCGTACTTGGCAAGCGGCAACATTTGCCGCAGTCTGTAAAACTGCCTGCATTGCAAAGCCAGGATCCATCTAGCCGTCGCCGGCCCAAGGACTCCCAAGCGCCACGGCTACATGTGTTCTGTAACTGTCCAAAACATCGTTGTCTGCGGAATCTGATGTATCTCGCAAAGGTGCCTGACCAGTCAGGATGCCCAACAATCACGTTGTTGCCTTTCCATGACTGTTTGTTTGTGGTAACGCCACTGAGGTAAATTTGATCAACTCAACACGAAGCTGGCCAACAGGAGGGATGGGCCCCCAGCCTAAGACGAACACCTTCGCAATTCAATACATGGCGCAATGCTGCTCGCAGCACTCGCAACAATCGCGGAGATGACATGGTGGATCTCCTCTTGGAAATGCAATGATACCAACAAAAAGTCCCTGCCGTGAATGGGCACATGCTAGTCAGCTAGTCGATGTCCCATCACCGACTGCTGTTGTGTGGTTACGAGCTTGGCATACTATCATCTACAGAGTGCAACCCAACCTTGCCCAATCTAAGAACACAAATGCGTGACTACTTCCTTGACTCAACTACAAACCTGGCTGCGCTTCACACATCGCTCAACAGGCTACCATGCAAAGATCGTGTTCTTTTGCAAGCAGCAGCTGATGTACCTCCGACCTCTTCCACTACAAGTTCTGTACAAGGACTGCGGACACTCAGTTCGAAACTGCAGTCTCGATTTCCACGCAGAACCGGGCACAAAAAAAACTCGGCTTGCTGGACCATATAACTTGTCGACCACACAGCTGCATCGCTCATCAAAGGAAGTTCTGGACACCCAGGAGCCAGCGAAGCAGCTGCATCAATAAATGATGGTGCTGCACAATTCAAGGCAGCCACCGCAGCGAAAGAGTTGGACTCTGGGCGCGGCTCTGATATGTCCATTTTCATGTCATGGCTTCCGCAGAGCCTCTGGGCGTTCCTCTCCATCTGGGTCTTAGTAGCAAGTCCACACCAAAGGTTCTGAGACAACATCTGACCAAAACTGATGAAATCTAACTTCATGCAGTCACATCTCTCCTCGAACATCAGCTTAATGTTGGAGTCACAACACTGGTCAGGTTCCGCTTGTAGCAATCCTTCAGAAAGAAGAACAAGTTCCTGTCTGGAAAGCAAACCATCAGCATCAGCATCATACAGCTCGAACAAATCATGAAGAACAGAGTGGAAGGGATCCTGCTTCCACCAGCAGAGCGTGGCCTCGACATTCCGCACCATTGTCACAGTTACGGGGACTGGTACAGAGGGCGCCCGTACTCGGAAAGATGGACAATCGGCAAAAATGCCCGCCTTCGTGGGAACCAATTTCCCTGCGAACGCAACGTCCAAGCCAGTGCAAGCAGCTATCTCTTCTATAATGACAGCATCATCTGGACCTGACCAGGTGAAGTGAACATGCAATCGACCAAAGCCACGGTCTCCAGGATAGAAGTGCGACGGCACAATCCGATATTCCCAAGACGAAGCCAGACACCCAACGTCAAACACCAGAGATGAATCTCGCTTGCTTTCAAAGGGTGTCTGATGCAAGATGCGCCGGCGGTTTCGTGTACAGCTCTTAGCATCTGTTGCAACGTCTCTCAGAACCTCTTGGCGAAGAAGGGTAATACCCAATTGAGGGAGAGGTAGATGCTTGCAGCGTCGGCTGTCAGGCTGCGACACGGTGACTGCCATTCGCATCTGGCATGACGGCCGGATCCGGAACATGGGATTGTCCGGAAATGTTGGAAATGATGACGCACCACCAGAGTTTTTGGATGTGACAACAAGGTCAACAGAACGTCTAGGCAAACGGGATCTTTCAGCAAACGACCCCACCAAGCAAACAAACAGGCGATCAAATGTTTGCAAGAAGTCTTGCAAGTTCATCTCCAGCATTTCGCCGCAGCACTCCCTCTCTTCGGCCTGGCTGTGTCTGGAGGCACCGGGATCAACTATGGCAATCGTCAGATTCAGGACACCACTTTTCGGGCATATGACATAGACATGATTGTGGCGAAGCTGCGGTGCGCAACGATTGTCTCTGCTGCTGCGAGGCTTCTCCGTGGGATCATTAAGATCGCCACGGAGCTCTGTTGAGGTGCTTACACAGGCCAGCAAATTTGGGTCACCCTCCGCCTGCAACTCAGACAAAACTTGTTCCATTTTTGGAAATCTCATCTCAATGGTGGGCGCGGCCGTAAACATGAAAAGTGCTTCGTCAATACGCCCACCATCCAAACAACCATAACAGCCGTACAGCTTTGCACACGCCTTTTCTAGAAAGCAGGCAAACAGTTCCTCCCCATTCGAATGATGGGCGAATGCTGGTCTTTTTTCTGTGCACGGCAATAAGGTGTCCATGGTAATTGATTGCCAGCGTCCGTCGCAGAAAAGCTTGCAGGTACAAATGCCTTCTTCCGCATCATATGCAGTGAACAATCGCCTAACAAGATGAGGCTGCTGAGCTAGAAGGGCAATTGCAGAAACAAGATAACAATCTGGCAAGAATCCTTGCCTGACTGTATTTGTGTGAGGCGCTGCATCTGCATTGAACAGACCTATTGGCGTTGGCGAGAGCTGATGCGGGCGCAACCACTCAAGGATTTCGTAGCACCACTGCTGGGATGAACCCTTCCCCCAAAGTGACGATCCATCGGGAGGAAACGTCTGATCAACATATAACGCAACCATGCTCTCCGCAATGCGTGGGAACTGTGAGCCGACCAGCAGGAAGAACAAGCCTAAAAACTGTCAAGCTGTGTGGTGATCTTCCTGTTCAACTCAATGTTGTGGAGCCGGCTTCTGGGAATCTGCTTGCAGCCTCCAATTGTCATCAGTCCTACAGTCGTGGCCACAACCATATGCCTGACCCGCGCAAGAGGGAAAGGCTTCGGTACTGCGCATGCCATTAGAGCACTGATGGGGATATTTTCAAACTATATTGCATATGGTCCCAACCAACAACATGCTCACTGTTCGAAGATTGCAGTATTGGCAATCTGTGGCGAGGAATCCTTCTTAGCATTCGGCAGTTTTGTCAGCAGTTTTCGGGAAAATGCAGTACGACGTCCATGAAACTTTGTGTGCTGACGGGTCCATATGGGAGTTTCCTAACCTATGGGCACTACAGTTCAAGAAAGATGTTGAATGCTTGATTCGGTTGGATACACCGGCTGAGAGATTGTATGGCATTGGGCAATCTTATTTTTTCGTGTTCACCACTTAGAGGCAGGACTTTCTTCAAATTGATTGCAGCGAACTGCGGGCTGAATATCTGGAGGTATGCATTCCACCTCCGGGGGCATCTAGCTCGGAACAACGTTTACAGGTGCAGGATGTTGCTGTTGATGAACAGGGCCTCGTGTACACTGGTGATTGTACTGGTGCTGACGGTAAGGTTTTCGCAGCAAGTTTCAAATCCACACAGGCACTTGCCATGGAGACTCGCTGTACAGTGGGAGGTTTTCATGGCCAAGTACATCCACATGTCCGTGCAGCGGCTTGCAACCAGTGTCCATTGTGCCATCATGTCCTTGCAAGCGTGCGGGCAACTCAAAGCCACGTTTGCAACAGCTTACGGGTCAAAAGGTGTACTGCTGTGGGAAGTGCTACTCATCATGTTGTCCATCCACCCCGATTGCTGGCTTGCCCTTTCTGTGATGCCGAGAAGGATGATTGGAGTCTGTGTATGCCCGAGATCCCCTCATAGTGTTTGTCCCTACACAGCGCAGCTCCCACTGACAATCATGTCATGTTTTGTGAAGGCTCAGTATGAAGCAAGGCCAACAAAAGTGAGTCGCCGAGAAACAGGAATTACGGCGAGGCATGAGATTGTCATAGACCAGCTAGGGATACTTGTTG